AGTATCCTATGGGTTTGTGTTTGCTTGTTCATCTTCTAGTGCACTCAGAACACATTAGAGTAAAGAACAGTATGCATTAGGAACAGAATTACAGGATGTATTTCAAGTGTACAGGCGATGACCTAAGCAGATTGGGAGACTACAGAGCTTCCCTAGGAAATGACTTGTAAATCCAAGCTTCAAAGGATTGAAGACCGAACAAAGCTAGAAGCTGGAGATGTGGAGCAGGGAGGGGGGCAGGGTGGGACAGGCAGAAAGCAGGCATCTAAACAAAGAATGGCATATGGGCAGGATTGGAGAGGACCAGGTGGGGGCTGTCCTGAAGTGCCCCGGACACAGTCCTCCGGGCATGGTTTTTAAGACAGGTTGGTTGGTAAGTGCAAATACATACAACACGCCTTGTGAAAGGTCACATGCTGGAGTTCAAGATGTTAAATAAGAAGGCGATGTGTGCATAGGAACAGAGGCCATGGGAAAAAGAAGGCAAGGGACAGGCAAATCCTGCCACTAGAGTGGAGGTGGAGCTCTTGACTTGGCAGATAACACCACACGGGGTACAGCAGTGTGGTCCATTTAGTGAGCTGTACAGACACCCACTTGCAATGGATAAGAAATGTATTTCAACATTTGTTGTTGAAATTAACACTCCAAAGACTAGGACACAAAACTTCCATAGTAACTTTACATGTGATTGAAATCAGTCTTTGGCAAGTTAGTCTTAAGCTGACTGTACCATTTTGCTGGCCACAGAGAAGCCCTGCCCAGTCAGTGGTTTTATAGTTCCCAGTATTTCCAGATGACCAGCCTGGAAAGCCCCAGATTGCTTTACCATCCGAATGTGCTGAGTTGGATCAAAAGGAAAAAAAATCCATTAAAGTGAATCAGTCAATGACGTAATTTACTACATCAATAGCAGAAAAAAAGCTTATTTTTTTTTATTTTACCCCTCAAAGTTGGAAAGTGATGAATGAGTTTCACATACTGAAGACAAAGGCCACAAGAAAAGTGCTTCCAACATGCTGGAAACAAATTATATGACAGGAGCAGGAAATGTTTAAAAAACACATCAAAAATTATATTCCAATCACTACATTCTTGGGATGAACGCTGTGGGTCAGATTACATATTATACATGTTACAGATTGCTATTTACGATCCCCTGTTTAGACCTATTGAAAGTTTATAGAAACGATTTCCGCTTTAACTGAGGCATTTCTTATACTTAATTTCAACTGAGCAATAAAACTTTTTGATAAAAAAAAGAAAAGAAAAACAACCATGTCATTGATTTCAATGCCCACATGGTAGAAAACGTTAGTATTTATTGCGAGTTTATGATGTGTGAGTCAGTATGGTAACTGATTTGCATTATGTATAAAGTAAAAACAACATTCCTTTGAGACACTTGGGTCCTTTCAAGGAAAAGCATTGTTTTACTGTTACAAAATTAAATTTCAAAACCTGTGTGAGTAAAGACACAATTAGTGGCCTATGTTCCAAAAATGAAGAACAAAACAACAACAAAAAAACCTCTGAGGCATAAAATGCTCTATTTAAATTCACAAAGGTACAGTTCAAATTTTATATATTTTGTTGTTTGAAGAAGCTGCCTTCTGTGTACAGTATTTCCTTTGTTTTAAGCAAAGGTTGGCTACTGTGCTGGATATTTGCAAGATTGGGCCAAACATAGCTTTTATATTTTTAAATAGTTAAAAAATAATCAAAATAATAATATTAAAAAATACATGAAAACCACATAATCTCAAAATCACAATGCCCAGAAATAAAATTGATTTTGAACATGGCCCTACTCATTTTTCTTTTTGCATGTTGTCTGTAGCTGAATTCTGCTACAGTAACAGAACCATGGAGTTGTGTTGGAGACTATGTGGCCCACAAAGTCTAAAATATTAATTTATAGAACAAATTGGCTTTTCTCTGCTTTTAGACAAGAGATGAAAACTAAACAAACCATCATCTGGGTTCACATCCCTAAGGGTTCAAACCCTGTCCTGAGAGGAGTCAGGAGCATCTATAGCCTTATCTGCAATAAATACTTCCATGTTGTATCTGACTACAGCTCGATATTTATACTTGGAAGATAAAAAGATGCTCCTCCAGCAATGGTTCTGAAATGGGGATGCTAAGGGTAGCTGATAGAACATAGATCCATCTGCCAGCTCCACAGTGAAGAAGAATCCGGTCCACACTGTCAACAGTGCTGAGGCCAAGACACACCCTGGTCTACAAAGAACTGAAAATCTACCCTAAATTCAAACTGTTTCTCAAATACAAACAAATTGCTACTTAGTGACATTAATTTGTTGCTACCCCTATGCCATATTTGTGTTAATATTTATGAGATGGAGGCAGATAAGTTTCTATATATTTTATGAGCATGTTTTTATGACTAACCATTATCCATCTGTACAGTCATAATTTTCAAGTTTTCAAAATGGAACAGTCTCCCTCTCAGCTGTAAGCCCCAGTGAATAATCCTCTCGTTCATCAGTTATTTCACTTGGTTTGCACTAGAATCCATCTGCTTTGATTCTATACTCAGCTTCTAAAACAGTTTTCTTTTCAAATCTGAACACTTTGCATAGATGGAGGGAAATATCCTTTTGATGTCATAATGTCATGATATCAGGGAGGTCAAAATACAAACTTGAGCAAACACCATAATGACAGACTGTGGGACAAGAGAGGATGCACACAGACCAGGGAAGAATATGCTGTAAATGCTGATGAGTGTTCCAAAGACCGAGGAGGGGGAAGACCGAATGCAAAGGCCAAGCGAGGTACCCAGAGTTCCAGACGTAAGCACTGCAATCAAGTGCTATTAACTCAAGACTAAACATTCAAATTTTATCCTCACTCACCAACATACTCCTAAAACTAGGATAGAACAAATCACTCCAGGGACTCCCCTTCTAGGTCTCTGGTGGCACAGTGCCATGTGAGTTAGTGTGTTTATTGCTTGAGAGAGCTATTGTTGGAAATTTACTTATTTTCTAGAAATTTTGGCAAACCAAATTACTTTCAGAATATTTGAGTTTATGGGTAGGATGTGGAATAATCACTTTTTATAAGTCAAGCATTGAACTGTTTTCTAACTTGGGAGGCTTCCCTGATGCTGTCTCCCAAAGCTCCCAACTTGATACACATTCTAGAATACTCTTGCTCAGGCACATACGCTTCCATGTTTCACAAGACTGTACCTTTTCACCTGCATCACCTTTGGGGTGCTCAGGCACATATGCTTCCATGTTTCACAAGACTGTACCTTTTCACCTGCATCACCTTTGGGGCCATTCTCTCCAGCATCTCCCTGAGAAGAGGACAAAGTGAAACACTTAGATGTGTTGGTGACTTGAAGCAAAGACCATTCTCCAGTGAATTCTCCTTTAGACACTTTTGTTACAAACCACTGTACATGGTCACAGAGCCAGCACACGTCTACTCGATCAGCTGACTGATGCCAATACAGTTACTTTCATTCCAGAACATGGCTGAGCACTGTTAAACCCCACAGCATTAACACAAAGCAGTGACTTACCTGTCATCCTTCTCATGGCTGATGTGGACACCAAGCTATCCTTCTGCAGTCTCATTTCCCCCTCTGTTAGTTTCCCATAGCAGGGCTCTCCTAACACTTCCCACAGTATGCCGTGGCACTTCTGTTTGCTATTTCTGTGCCCTTCTTCGTGTTGTGCAAGCCTGCCCTTTTCCTCTACTAGCTGAATAAATTGTAATTCAAGCCAACCAAGGCTCCAGGGCTTCCAAGTGAATGCCGGGACCTCCAAAGCCTAAAGACTGAGTATTTATCTAATTGGGGCTCCATAGCCAACATTCAGAAAAATGAATTTTTATTGGAAATTTTCACTTCTAAATGACAGTAAACTGAGTTAGGGTAACGTGTGCTTCATTGGTTCCTTCTCTATTCCTCTAGTGACGTCTCTTTTCTACCCACAAGGCAGTGCAAAGGGGAAGAGTTTTCATTTTATCTCTGTGCTTTGCTCCACTAAACTCTGAATTCTTTCACTTAAGCCTTGTAGCTTGTTAGAGAGGAAATGTCATGGCCTTCAAATAAACATGAACTCAACCTACTCAGGCTCCTGTCTACAATGGACCAGGAGAGCAGCAGCCACCTGATGAACCGGAGATGGGTGCTGGCGTTGCTCTTCCTCCCTCTTCACCTTCTACATGACACAGTTATTTGGTGACTGAATCACATGGACCAATGAATGCCCCAAAGTGTCTGCTTTAGGGTATGTAGTCTAAGGCACTGTTGATAGATGACTTCCTCACATGCTTTTTAGAAATTGGCTTGAAAACCCCTTTAAAACACCAATCGCTTGTTGGGAAACCTGGCTCAGAGGGCTCAGAGTAGTTGTGAAGTAAAGAGCTTGACTTCCCTTCATGAATGGCCTTTTAAGCCCTGTTTTGCTCTTCCAACTTAATATTGCCTTCTTCCTGCCTTAGAAAGCTAAGAAACACAGTTAAATTGAGGACTGCTTTCCCTATCTTTTGATGGATTCTTCTGCAAGCAGGGTTATGATGTTTATCAGAAAGGCTGTCTAGGTAGCACTCCACTCAGAGACACATCCAAACACCACTGCACTTAGCAGAGGGAACCCGGGTTTAAACAGTGCCATACACAATAGGAGTCTGAAAACATTAAGACAGGCATGCAAGGAGTACAGGAGGCATTTATTAGGGATTAACATGCAACCCCGTCTCTTTTCTGGTTTTGATGGAGATTCTTTGTGGGGTCACTTTTAGACAATCACTGCAGGTAAACATCTGTATCCCTTTTGACCTTTGACTCAGAGTCTCCAGCAGCAGCAGAGACAGCTGTGGGTGTTTAGGAAGGCATCGGAATGGCATTATTAAGTATGCAGAGTGGGATTTTTTACAGAGCTAGGGGTTTCTGGAAGACATTGTAAAGCCTGGCATGAAGTGTTTGCCTGTCTCCCCTTCCTTCTAACCCCAATCTCAAAATTTACACCGAAGATAAAGCCACATTTTCTGTTTTCACTATTTGACAGTCTGCAAGACAGGCAGATGGACACTTATTACCTCCTCCCCAATCTCCACTTGCACTATCTGTCCATCCATCTGGTTCAGTTTGGGTGTAGCTCGGGAGAAGGGAGCATGATAAACAAAGCAGAACCATTCTTACCTTTTCTCCTTCTTTTCCAGGTTCCCCCTAAGCACAGAAACAGAGATTGAGAGATATTAATGAAGAGCCAATAAAGCAGTAGCAAACAAAGCAGATCCTGAACACACACTGAATGCACCAGGTGAATTACAAAGGGCAGCATCTATTTTGGCTTCGGTTTCTGTATGAAAACAAGTTGCAAAAGTATCCAGAAGAATTGGGTACACACACCAATACCAACTTGGATCTATAAGGATAATGGTATGTGCAGTGCATAAGAAGGTCACCTAGGAATGGACATTAAGCAGGGGACACAGTATGGCAACTAGATATCCATCTAAACTCAGAGTCAATAAGGTGGGTTAGCATGTCCTTCCTTAAACTGTCTACTAAAGCATGCCCTGATGCCTGGGTTATTTCAGCGATGACCCCTGGTACAGTTCTGAATTCCTTGGACATGATCACAAACCCTCAATGCAGCACTTGGCATCCTTGACAAGATCATCCATTCTGGAACTGGTAGGAACCCATGTATTGCAGACCAAGATACCAGAATGGAGCAGTCTCGGTGAGTAAGGTTCCTACTAGAAATGGTGACCAAGAAAACACAAGGCTTAAAATATGAAACTGTTCTCTGAAGAGAACTGCATCTCTCCCTTTCTCTAGCAAAGGGCAGGGGACAGAGAGCAGACATTCTAAAGTACATACACCTTATGATGAAATTTCCTGATGGGAAGCTTGAATAGGCATTGCTGTGAGAGCAGACTGCTTAAAATGTTTTAAGGAAATTATTGTGAGGAAAAAGAAAACCAAAGTAAAAGAACCCATCTACAAGTCAGTTTGGAGACAAGGTTATTTCATTCTCTGGAAACCAACTTGTTGGTTTGGTTTTCTGCATTTCTGGTGACCTTCACTACTCAACGTCTATCCTGATGGCTGCATTGCCGGGCAACACAGGAACAGTACTGTGAATACCCATCCGGAATTAACTCCTACAATTGGGCTTTTTAGTGAAGTGCAAGAAAGAGAAGAAGACAGAAGAGGGCTGGAATCCCAGGAAGAATATTTTCTTTCTTCTCCTCCACAACAAAAAAAAAAAAAAAAAAAAAAAAAAGAAAAGAAAAAAAAAGGCAGGTCCATGAATTTTAGGTTTGTCCGAAGCGAAGCACCTAAATAGCAGCATGCCATGTAAAATCAGTTGACAGACATCTGTGGGTACAGGCTCACACCAGCACAGCTGATGGGATTAGACATCAGTTTTGTACTTCAAGGGGTGTTCACTCATCAAAGGATTTGGGATTTGTCTGCCTGCTTGGTTTAAACTAAACTGTCACCAATCTTTTTTGATTTAACAGAGTCATTTGTTCTTCAAGGAACCAAGAAAACAAGCAATCCAAAAAATATCCTCATTACATTTTTTCCCTATTTAGTAATTCAAAATATATCCACTTTTAAATTCTAAACACACCACATCTTTATTCTGTTCTTTGTCTGACTATCTGGCCATGTTGTATAGAAGCTGAAGGTGGCCAAATCTTGAGAAAAAGCCGTCATGGCTGTGTGAACATCATCTGTAGCAGGGCTTGCTAACATGCACATTTGAGACAGCATGAACATGACCTATGTTTTCACAACTGACTAAGGGGTAAAATGTCAGTAGTTATTTTGAGGGGTTTCTTATGCTATTTGGTTATCCCCCAAGAGATATTTCTTTAAAATTATCTTATAGGTGTTTTTCTTGCATGTATGTCTGTGTGCCATGTGTGTGCCTGAAGTCACACACAGGGTACCGGATCCTCTGGGACTGGAGTTACTTACGGAAGGTCATGAGCTGCCATGTGGGTACCAAGAATTGAACTCTAGTCCTCTGCAGCAAGAGCACCAGGCGCTCTTAACTGATGAGCCATTTTCCCAGCCCCACAAGAAGGATTTTAGACAATCATCTCCTATTTCTTTTTTTGCATGCCTAATGCTAATGACATTGTAAGCATAATTTAGTCATTACTGACAAAGTTTTATGGCTGCATAATATACCACTGACAAAATTTCTACCCAACTACAACCAGAAAAATAACAAACTGACAGCTTAAAAGTTTGTAGAAACCATGCAGTGACAACTGTCCTTGGCTTTATCTGTACCAACCTTTGGTCCTGGTAGTCCACTTTGCCCTGCTTCTCCAGGTGATCCAGGCTCACCCTCAAAATAGAAAGTATACATTACTAAGCAAAACAAACCAAGCTAGCACACTACAGAGATGAGAGGAGTTGGCCATCTTAGAATGTGCTAGAAAAAGAAAAAGTAACTATTAAAATAATTGGTTCCAAATTTTTATATGCTTGAGAACAAAGTATTTAACTGGGTTAATTTTCTTTGTGTAGTCTTTTCATCATCAAGAAAGCTAATATAGTTCTGGGAATTATACAATTAGTATTTGTTGAAAGAATAAAGGTCAATTGGCAATGATAAACTCTCTTTGTGGAGAACTTTAAAGTGATCTATCAGCTCATTAAATAAATACTAAATCATTATTTTTTTTTACTAAACTTAAAGTAACATTTACAGATGTCCATTTTGAAAATACATATCCTTGAACGCCTACCTAGTCTGCTAAAAGACATTCAATAAAAAAGCAAAAATTAAAAAAGACTTTCAACAAATGCTTTTATAATGGTGTTGTGAAAATAATTAAAACAATCAGACTTACCCCCTCATGGTCACACTAAATGACAAGCCTTTATGAGAAAGGAAATATCTGCTGGTCTAGAAAATGCCCCATTTCAGGAGGATGGTGGTATACACTATCCTTTCTGAACCAGTGATTATTTTCCAAAGAAGGAAACAAAAATGAAACAGAAACAATAATAAAAATCCAACCCCTGTGAAGTGCCCAGAAGCTAAAGACACCTTGTGTCCTTATGATGTTCCTATGTGGCTCATACTCCCATCAGAACTTCATTTCCACCTGTGAAACATTCCCAGTGTCCTTCACCATGGGACTGACTTCTAGACAGCTTCTTTGCACGGAGAAAGGTAAAGTTGCTTCTTAGTTGATTTCTTAAAGACAGTGTTTAAGAGCAGTTTTGGGTTCACTGCAAATTTGAAGACTGTTTGCCAAGTAACCTGGGGTCATTTTTGTGTGTGTGTGTGTGTGTGTGTTTTTCAGGTTTAAAAACCATGTACATTAATATTTCTGTTACCACATTTTATTTATCTCATTGTATGTGTTTGTGCATGCATGTGTACATATGCAAATGCATGCATGCACAAGCCACAGTACCCGCTACAAGTCAGAGGACAACTTGAGGGAATTGGATCTCTCCTCCTATTATGTGAGTTCCGGGTATCAAACTCAGGTCCTCAGGCTTGTTGGCAGGCACCCTTACCTGTGGAACCTTCTGAGAGGCCATTAAGTAGTATTTCTTAACTGCCACAATCTTACATTCATTAACTCAATTTTTACAACCTTCTGTGAGGCAAGTTTTATTTTTTATCTCCTTTATGGGTATATAAGTTAGGGGACAAAGAAATTAGCACTGTCTAGATTTATAGAAAATAGTCAAGATTTGTACTAGCCTGACCTAAGAGACAGACAGACAGAGACGTGCGCGCGCGCACGCACACACACACACACCCACACCCACACACCCACACACACACCCACACACACACCCACACCCACCCACACACACCCACACACACACACACCCAGAGAGAGAGAGAGAGTGAGAGAGAGAGATTTATATTCTCTCTTATCATGTAATTCATATATCCTATCTATAGTGGCTTTCCAGAGGCATAGAAACCCGAGGTAAATATAACCTACAGAAATTGTGTGTAGCACCAGATAATCCAGGCCTGAGTCTTTTTCCTGGCAGAAAACATTTTTCTTGTTCTGGAGTGTAACTGCTAAAGTCTTGACCTGCTGTGAGAAACTCTGCTTATTTTGTTTCCTGCATAAAGTCACTTTTTAACTGTAACTCTTCCACTGTCCTTGGTAAGATGACAAAACAGGTGACTTCCAATAATGAAGGCCATTATTGGAAAGTTTTGATACACCATTTGGACATAACAAAGGGCAAGAACTTGGAAACAGAATCCACCCTGAACAAGGACCATCATTTACTATGCAAACGGAAAAGAGCTACCGAGTCTGCCATCAAAGATCTGGCGGCAGGATGCTCTAGTGTCATAACTCATGATGTGGTGTGCAGAAGACGCTGCAGGGAACAATGTAAACTCTGTCTGACTTTCAAAGAATAACCATGGTAGCTAGAGACATTTCAGCAAAACATGGGTGAAGCCCCAGATCCGGGAAAACTCATGCTGAGATTTGAAGAGGGGAAAAAGAATATTGTTTAGGTGGCTGTGTAATGTTTTCCTCAATATATGAACCCCAAGGGACTAAAAGTTGGACTCTGTCTCTCTCACTCCTGTTCACATTGCTAAAAAGAACCATCAACAGAAGACAAAACTAAGAAACAGGACTCATAACGTCCCTCTGCGGGAATTACTTTCATGCTGTCCCGTCTCCATAGTCTTTTAACTTAGTTACACACAGCCAAGCAGCTATCAGCATGTCCCATAGTGTAACGTCATGAGTTTTTGTGACCATGCCACTGGATTTGTTTCTACTGGGCGCTCATGAGTGTCTTGAGTGGTTCGGTAGGTCTCCATCATAGTCAGGTGTGACCGACCTTTTACTCAATTCTGCACTGCTGTATAGTCATGTTGTTTAAAATAAGTCTTTCTAGAAATACAGCTATATTTTCCTGACAAGTTCTTTGCTTGCTGGGGGGAAAAAGTCCCTGGATTTATTTTGTAGCCACTGGTCAAATTTTAAGGCATCAACTGTGTGCTTCTAAATGGCTTTCTAAACGGTTTCTGAGTTTTCTTTGCATTTTAAAATTTTGCTTTTTATGTGTATGAGTGTTTGCATGTATGTACTTAAGCACCATGTCAGTGCCTGTGCCCACAGAGGCCAGAAGAGGGTGCTAGATCCCTTGGACCTGAGTAACAGGTGGTTGTGAACCCCCATTCCCCCTCAAACATATGGGTGTTGGGAAGCTAACTTCAAAAGCATCAAGTGCTCTTGACTGCTGAGCCATCTCTCCAGCGCCCCCTTTTTTCCTGTGTGTGTGTGTGTGTGTGTGTGTGTGTGTGTGTGTGTGTGTGTGTGTGTAATAGTCTCAAGGTTATTGGACAGCTTACCATCCACTTAATATTTCTCAACACCGTGGACAGTAATAAAGTAAAACAGCAGGGGGCATCTAACTGAAAGGGCTATCTCTACTGTAGTGGAAATTTTTAGGTGATCCCTGGACTATCACTCACTTCCATATTTAAACTGCAGGGAGGCTGGACTAACTTTTCAGGGTGGCTGGTTACTTCCATTTCATTTTACACCAAATTCTATTGAGAATGCTAATATAGGAGATCACTCAAGGCTCTTACAGCCATATCAGCTATGCTCCTTGACTGTAGGGACGGATCTCGAGGGTTAGAAGGGGATCTGTTTTCTCACAGAGATGAGTGCTGGTGGCAAACTAGTCATTTAGCTGGAATAGCGTTCACCACTGCCTCAACAGTGGGTTCCCAGTCTATCAGTGGGAACTGAAAATGGGTCATAGCTTTGAATTTTTAGAATAATGCAATTTCACATTCATCATGTTATAACTGTTGTTTCTTTTCAGGACTGCACTGTTTTCATCCAACTAGGAAAAAAAAATTCAAGGAACAAAGATCTAGTATTAGATGGAATGGGTGGTGGGTCCAACATGGCCTTGGCCTCTGGAACTGCAAATGGTAGTGGTGTGTGTGTGTGTGTGTGTGTGTGTGTGTGTGTGTAAGGCTAAAACCAAAGATATTCAGAGTGGGCTAGTAAGTGTCTGAGGGGCAAAGAAGGGCAAAGAGGCAGCTGTGAGGCTAGAGTCCAAGTCACCTCATGCCCAGTCTTGCTTGTGTCTAAAAACTCATTCAATTTCAATGTTTCTTTTTAGTATTAAGCATTGGATTAGCATTAGGGAAGTATCCACTGGCTCCAAATATTTCTTCTTAAGGTCTAAGACACAAGGCAGATCTCTGAACTTCTGCAGAACTCAACACATCTTCTCTAGAGTGTGGGGCTGGAATCATTGCTCCCTTGTTCCGTGTAAGATTTAGCATTACTATTATCATTTGTTGTCAGACCACAGATGTTACCTAGTGGATCTTTATTCTTCACAGACTAGATTGCATTTTGCGTCTAACCCAAATTCCCAGGCTCTGGAGTCCAAGCCTGGCTGTTCTAGTTCTGATGTTTGCACATGTTAGCCCTGATTTCCTAAACTAAGATGGGTTGGCTAGTTCCTCATCCTTAGTCTCCATCAGCTGTCTCCCCCAGGCCCTGGGGAGGTCTGAACTGAGCACTGGGGTGCCTGGGGAGGGGTCCTTGTCACAGGCACAGTCTGTCTTGGTCTCTCTGGCTTCTCATTTCTCCCTCTTCTACCTCACCTTCCTCCTCCCTCCCAGACCATGCTGGGAATTCAGCGTCAGTGTGGATCAGTCCATAACATTTCTAGCTTCTACTTGACACCCAACACCTGTTATTTTCATTTGCATTTTCTGGAGGCAAAGAAAGCTTTAGACCATGATGAAAGAAAAACCATAAACCTCATCCTGGACAATTAGATTTGGTTATGCATCAGAGGACTGGGCATCCCTGTGGGGGAGTTTTGTCTTGTTTATTCCATCAGTAAACTTCTCCCATCAAATTAGAGACTCTGTCCTCTTTGGCAATATGCTATTAATTAGTAGAAAAGCAGACAGGTATGCCAGCCAGGAATTAAATTCAAATATGCTGCTTTGGATCATTTGTTGACATGGCCCTTAAGCTGATTGAAATAATAACTAAAGTAAACCTAGCAAGCTTAAGGGAGAAAATGATAAATGTCTAAAAATTACAAATATGTAAAAATGTATAGTAAGTCACAGTGAACGAATAAATCTCAGCACGAGCTAGTTTTGGAAGAAGAAGTCAGCTCATCAATACCTTAGAGTCCTATGCTGATAATTCAGAGAGGCATGTATGCAAAACAATCTGGAAAGCAGTACGAGCAAGCAAAGGGATCAGTGTTTAGGAGGTCACCCAACATGGCTGGATTTCATTTATCTGGGTACAATTTACATACAAGAGAGGCATTGTTGCCTTGAGCATATTA